GATTTTATAGGTAATTACGCGCTGAAGTGTAGAATATTTCTCATCGTTGCAACCAACCTAGAAGTCAGAGATGTGTGAACTTACTTGGCTGGTCGTCCCGAGTACAGTAACACCCTGTTCGTAGTGTGACATCTGGCGGGGTCGTCGGGCGATGGCTCCAGTGGCAGGAAGGTGCCCCAAGTGAGCAGGAAGAGGCTTCTGTTCTCGTGTGCCTCCACAAGCCACGGCAGTCCCTCGCAGTAGACATCCAACCTGGAGTGAGGCGGACTCACGAACTCGATCTCCCCTCCTGATCCACGCAGTCTCTGCTTCCTCGGACATTCCGGGGCCCTGACTGTCTCGAACGACGCGTGAAAGTAGAGATCGGCGAAGTCTTCCGTGATATTGAGCCGCGTCACGGTGAAGTGTAGCTCTATGATCCGGGTGGAGGAGATGAAGACAAGGTGACGCGAACCAGAAGCCGAGAGCGTGGAGTTGTCACACAGACACGCACGGGAGACCTTGACGTCGCGCCATGGAACCTCTAGGATTCTGAGTTGCGAAACGCGTTTCTCTTCTCCAGGGGGCGGAGTGACCGAAGCACATTTCGGGCGCCCCGTGTGTGGGTCGGACTCCGTCACGCATGACAACGACTCGCCAAAAGACGCGTTGTGAAGCGTGAGCCGGACTTTCTCGCCAGTCCCTGCCTCTAATCGGTACACACATGACAGGTTTCTAGCGCCCCCTCGCCCGAAGAGAAAAACATTTCTCGGAGACGAAAACTCGCCGCCTCGTGTCTTCCGGAACACTCGGCTACACGGCTGGGGTGGCGGTTCCTCCCCCTTCCGCCCCGACCAAGGCTCACCGCCCATGCGAGTGTCTACGAACTCGTATTTGAGGCGGAATGTGGCAGGGTGCAGCGCTGTGCCGTCCTCCGAGTAGTGTCGCATTGTGAGGTCAGGCCCCGTGGAGACGTAGCTCTCGAAGCGGCTGCAGGGACGCGTGACCCGAGTGACATTGCTGAGCGAAGTGTGGTCGCACAGTCGCGGAGGGTCCGCGTCGCAGTGATCGGCCAGCAATACGTCTGACTCTGTCCCACCGCCGTCCCATATTCTGAGACGTGTGGAACACGTGTGCGTGACGTTGGCGCTCTGGTTGCTTGTGGAAGTCGGAGAGTTTTGGCCGGGGGGAGCGGAAGTGGCTGTGGGGTCGCTGTTGGTCGTCAGCAACGGTTGGTGTGAGTACGAGACGAAGTACAGCCAGACAAGGTCGCCAGCACTTCCTCGGAAGCGGTAGGTGCAGGTGGTGTTGGGAGGGAGTGTGTGTCGCGGACTCAGGACGTTGCCCGCCCGACCTTTCGGCCGCAACATCCAGTCCTCGCTGTCGGGGTTGCTGGCATTCACCCAAAACTCGCAACTGTCAAAAAAGACAAATCTAGATCATGAACTTTATTACACCAGTTTATAAAGAATTATTTGTAGGTGAATGAAAACTCTTTGCTTCGATGCCTATCATTTTGGGTTTATGTAGTTCTCTTCCGAACTGTGCTCTTTTTCTTGTTAAATATGTAGAGGATTTTGGCACAGACGTGGACACAACGCGGAGTGGAATAGGGGGATACTTCACTGGATTTCTAGGGAAGTAAGGAAAGAGAGAAAGTTCAACTGTGTACTGGATAATGACAACGGAGCATATGTAGTGATGAATTTCTGATTAATACTCTGATTTTAAATCCACTGTTTACGTACACTGAGTACTTTTGCACCTGAAAGGAAATAATCCAATCCAACAAGTATCAATTCAGAATTTCTGTTGACCTTATTAATACCCAGACTAATACACTTGTACAGACGCTGGCGTCGTAAATTCAGATAGTTTTTCGTTAAAGTCTCACCTGCGTGGTTCTCTTGAATAGTCAAGTGAGTCCGAGTCAGAAAACACGACGTCCACGTCGAGTTCGAATCCTCTGAGAGGAGACGGGGCAGTCGATGAATGAAGCGGGATGCTGAACGGCGAGGAATGGAAAGCCACCAGCATCTCCGGACCTCTTGACACCACCCTGGGCAGCCAGTCACCCCCGCAGAACTTGACGAGGACTGGATCATCAGTACTGGATCCGTCGTAGAAGATGAGATGATCCCTCTCGCCCGTGCAGTCTCTCCACGCACGCAAAGCTCTGCCGGTCTTGTTGAGGCTCGCCATGGTCACCGCCCTCTTGATCTGCATCTTGTGCTCGCTGTCTTGCCTGACAGCAATCATGGCGTGCTTGCAGTTCGGTATCGTCTTCTGGCGTAGAGTTAAGTAACAAGTGACATTCCTCGGATACATCCCGGGATAGTTTGGTGATTGAAGCCTGCAGCGTTTCCGGTAACACTCGTAGTAATTACGGGAACAGTAGGTCCCGGGTACGACTTCGCCTCTCTCCAAAGGGGCACCGACACTTCCGAAACGAACTACTGCCTCGTCGTGACTAACAAATTTGTAGCGGAGTTGGAACTCAAAAGGGCTGGCTGCGTGCAGTGGAGAATGGAAGAGTTTGACTGAAACGGTCACTGTGCTTGTCTCGCTGTAGTAGACGGCGTAGCCTGTGGAAGATCCACACCACGAACCTCCCGTGTACGGGCGCCCCATCTCTGACAGCTGCATGTAGCCGTCAGGGCAGCCATCCAGGGCTACCGCTTCGTACCGACCCACGTTGAAGGCGTCGAATATCAACTGAAACAGAAACGAGTCATCTTGAAAGAAGTCCTTGGGGCGGAGTACGTACTGAAACGTTGACAGTCTCTCAGGTCGGCATGAAACCTTCCTATCTTTGGAACCCAGTGGCAGATTGCGCTGGACACAAAGGATACTTAGGTAATCCGGTGCAGAATTTGTTGATTCCAGTCCACACCTAAACGTCGAAGTTCTAATTATCTACCATGTAGTTTACACCCAGGTCTCCCAAGTGGGATGATACAATGTTTTATGAGTATTCTTAGTATCGAAAAACATTTCAAATGAAAGTTGCTGATCTTACACCATGTACCAGTTTTTAGGCGATGTGGTGGTTTTGATAAAATCTTAAAGTTAACAGAAAAAATAGCGGTAATTTAGGATTTATTCATTAGTTACTATGGAACAGGCATCACGCGATGGGTGCTTATGAAGGAGTGGAGGCGTAGCTCCACCAATTCTTTACATCGGCATTAGATGAAAGTAAAGTCACCTTCGTGCCCTGTCCGTTTCTTCCCAGGTGTCTTTTTGGCGAAAAGCTCGTCTGGACGCGGGCAACTTAGAGAAAAATCTCTTGTCTCCGTCGGGGATCGAACCCCGGTAGTCCAGCTCATACCTTAGCAGTAAAAGGTTGTGGCGACCACAAGGAGAACACCGACGTCTGACACTGGTACCATTCCTTATGGACAGAGGTCAGAGCGTGTCGTCCTGTGTTACGTTACTTTGTGTTACTTAGAGGCAGGCGTTTTCTTCAGCGACTCACTTTTGCAATTAATTGCCTGCACCGTAAAGTTGGCCTGTTCACTCACCTGAACGAGTTCCCCGTGGCTGTGGCCGTTCGCCATGAAGGTGAGCTGGCAGAGGAAGGGCAGGCGGTCCTCGCGTGGTTTGTGCAGTTCCAACTCGTACGTCTTACCCACGTCCCCATAGTAAGTTCTGTTGCACACTGGAACGCGGGAAAACGCTCCTGTGAAGTCTTGTTATTTCAAACTACAAGTATTAAACAGCGTCGAGCGACAGGCGACATGATTATGAATGTTCACTTGGGAGGGGTATGAGATGACGTGAATGTACCGCATTTTACAGGCTGAATTTACCTTGATAGAATGAGAAAAAACATGGAAAACCACATATAATCACTCTGACGATGGAGGGAGTAAGAACCTCCGAAATTTCCGGTTACGTTTTACCAGACTACACGCCGCAACATCCCAGAAGACAGCCGGCTTCATGCTCGTCGCCATGATCGCCCAAAATCTCACCTAAGCGATAGTAGATTACTTTAGAAAGAAGGGGTCGTATGTTAATATTCTAGTGTACAAGGTATGTGCTTCGTATGTCGTCACCAGACTGAATGAAAAAATTGTAATGCAAACACAGGTAATAAATTCTTAAAAGTAAATATCATATTTATGGACGATACTAGCAAATCGTATAATATTTGTGGAGTTAAATGCAGTTAAATTCCAATATTGCTTGCTACTATTCGGTTTAGAATTTTATAACTTGCGGTCTCCAATCTAAAAATATAAATATTAACGTAGGAAAATAATTCTTGAACCTTTTGATTTGTATGGGAGTAAAATTTGAT